AGTAGGTGGTGGTGCAAGTGTTGGTGGAGGAGTCAGTGGTGGAGCTGGTGGTGTTGGTGGTGGTGCAAGTGTTGGTGGTGGAGTCAGTGGTGGAGCTGGTGGTGGTGTACGTGTTGGTGGAGGATTCAGAAAAGGTGGTGGAATACACCATCACTAAGATTTATTAATGGTGAATGTATTTATATTCGTATGACGTTCTTAAGATAAATACTACACATAGTATATGCACATGACCTCTGGTCGTTGCTAAAGCTTACATAATTATTGCTTTAAATGGAATAAAACCAAAGATTATTGGGTTTGCTGTTTGTGCACAAGTATGTTCATGCTCATTAATTATGTATTTTTCCAAATTAGTCTACAAAATGAACTAATTATCAAGATGGTACTCGTTAATTAAGATCAATGCTCTGTTTAGTCTTTCAACTAATGGTTGTCAAAATGGCGATAGAATGACATTAAAATTTATACTAATTTTTCAAAATGGTCATATGTAATCAGAATTATTTCATCGGGTCAGAACCAGACGGAAAACTAAAATGACAAAAAAAGAGTACCGAAGACCGTATCTTAAATACCCAATTTTAGACCGAATCGGACCGAAATATACTACTCCCTACATTTAAATAAACCCTTCTCCTTTTGACTGCCAAAATAAGGAAAGTGCATTTATTGTTGACTTTCCAATTTTATCTCTGATGTCATGGTAAAATAAGATATGATAGTTAGATTATTAGTAAAAAAATATGATGTGATAGGTAGGGTATGAAAAAGTAAAAGTAAAGTAGTTTTTTAATAAAAAGTGGAAGTGTTTTTCCAAAATAGAAAAAATCTAAAGAGAAAGAATTTTTTGAAGCGGACCGATCAAGACTGAAAAAGTATGATGATGATAATAATATTAATAATATTGTTGTTGTTGTTGTTGTAATTAATATTTTTATTATTACTATAAAAATTAATCATTTCATAATAATAATAATAAGTCATTTCATAATAATTCTATTATTACTATTATTATAAATAATAATAAAGAAATTTATCAAAAAAACTCTAAAATAGCATTGAGATTATAAAAAAATAGATTCTCGGTCTAATTATTATTTTAAAATGATTAAAGTGAAAAATAAAACAAATAATAAAGAGAAATGTTTTGCATAAAAAGGAAAGTAAAAAATAATTCAAATTTCGTTATCAATATTAATCCTGTTAGGTAGATCTCGAGAAATTTTCAACAACACTCTATTTGTCAAACAATGAATTTTATTTTTAAAAATTATGAATGAAATAAACTGGTAGTAGAAAAATTAAAAGAATTGGTTTACCAATTTAATACTACTCCCTTCGTTCCAATTTAAATTTTATATTTACTATCCACAAAGTCAAATTTTAATCACATTTTTTCTAATCTTCCCTACCCATTTGAGAAAATAATATGTAGCATTGTCACCTCTTATTTAATTTTTTAATTCAATATCAATTTTTATATCAACTAAATTGAAAATAATTTCAATCAAATCTCGTAAAGAATAATAGACAATTTAAAGTGGGATAGAGAGAGCAGTAATATTGCACTGTATGCACCCACCATATATGCAACGAAAAAGGAAGAAAACCCACCAATCAATTTTTTTTTTCTCACGGGGAGAATCAAATGCCCCTTTCAACCACATCCTCAGTTTTCCCTACCCTATCTAACCAACGGGAGTCACTCCCTAATCCCTATCTTATCCGATCACAAATAAGAAGAATGCAACATTGTGCCTCAAATAAAAACCTAAATCTCTTCAATTCATACTCCATATAAAACTGTGTCTAAATTGGTACGAGTATTTATCATCACAAACAAAAAATAATTTCACACATTGAAATTACAACTCTGGCACAGTCAAGTCAGTTTCCAATGGCAATGAAGTATAGGCATACATCACAATTGGGAGTGACATCACAACATGAAAATTCCATCTGCAGCAAGCAAATTAGGTACAAATAATGGAAGAAATCTCAAGGGTCAAATTACACGCGAGATCTTCACAGCATCTTTACAATATGGACACCAATTGTTACCACATTTTGAATTGCACCGTCCTGTCTATGTTTATGATTGATATGAGAAATAGAACAAGCAAGCCAACCTGTGTGTTGATACATAGTTTGATACATTGATGTGTCCCCGCCACAGCCAATTAATTCTATGGGGTCGTCACGCCAACAACAACATTGCTCACCTGACAAGCACAAGGAATATTATTCAAATCCAAATTACTTGGGGAAAAAGTGAAATTAGCACTAAATAGTTCTAGAACATACTCGTATGTCTTTTCCCAATGTAGTACCTAAAACTTTTTATTCCCTAAATAGTACTTGAACAACGTCAAGTGGCGGTGGACATTTACTTTGAACAATGTCAAGTGAACTTTGAACAGTGGTACTATATTGCAAAATTAAAACATAGGGTACTACGTTGGGTAGGTCACTATGTTTTAGTACTATATAGGTAAATTCCCCAAAGAAAAAGAAAGCTTAGAGAATGATGATTCACCAATTTCCCGCTTCCATCTACAGAGGCGGGGTTTTGAACAACTACAGTTTGATTTTGTGGACGTGATGTAGCCTGCATCAACAGATGAAACAAGATCCAATTGACAATTTCCAATATATGACATTGGCACATACAATGGGTTAGTACTATATAAGAGGGCTCTTAAAACTCACGGTTGACGAAGGTACTGTTGGTGAAGATGTCGCAGTTCCATTAGGAGGGTGAGATGGATTGGGCACACTTGTATCTCCCACCTGCAAGACACACGCATGCATGTGCAGCTTACAAATTAAAACATGGATAATGGCACTCAAGCATAGCAGACGCAAATGTGGCAACATAGGAAAAAATGGTATTTTGATTGCAACCGTTACGCATCACACTTCCTTTTGGTGTAAAAGCACCACTTGGCTGCCTCATTTTTAATTTTGTGGTCACAGCAGACATATCAACATTCCTTTCCCATGGGGGTGGTGGGGGGGTGGGGTGGAGTGTAGATTGAGTCGGAGGGAAAGCTTTGGAGGGCTTAGTCAATGTGTTGATAAACTGAAATGTTATACGATCACATATTATGTTAACCTTATAATTTCTCAAACATATGTCAATATAGACCAAGCCCTAGAAACCACAATTGGGAGTATTTGGTTTAAGAAATTTGAAAGGGAAAAGAAAAAGAAAATGATATGGAGAAGAATTTCTTTTTGTTTGGTTAGAGTGGACAAGAAAAGAAAAGTGGAAGGAAAATAAAATGAGGAAAAAATACACTAAGAAGGAAAAGGAGTTCGCTTCCATTTTGGTGAGGAAGAAGAGAGACACCTCTTTCTTTTCCTTTCCTTCCTAAATCCTAATTGCTCCAAATATAACATTAATGTTTTCTCCAAAAAAGTTTTCTGAGTATGACCCCTTCCGAAGAGGAGGTCACAATGATATCCATGGTGGGCTGGCAGCAGCAGTAGATGAGTAGAGTAGTGGTAGGCAGTCTTGATTGTTGATAATGGTGTTGGTTTGGTCGATGATCATGATTATTATTGGAGAACATCAATTTTCCACATTTTAAAAACAATTCCCAATGCAAGACAAACACCTGAAAATCTAAAATTTTACTTTTAGATGTCATTTTCAGCATTTCATTGATGTCTCCCATTAAGGCCATTACGTATGCATTTACGAGGAAATACTTGGGAATCAGAAAGCCAAAAACAGTTCTTGCTTTTTACTGTTTTATATTACCAGTGCATCTGAGCAACAACTGAGCAAGCACAGAGGATAATAGGCTGGACATAAGCAGAAAAAAAACAATACTTACATTAACATTAGTGATGAAGTGACACAACGCACATTTGACAGAGGGAGCTCCATATGGATACATTAACATTGTGCGGCAGCTTCCACAATTAATATGAGCATACTGGTTTGGTACTGTATGCCAGGAAAGTTTTCCATCCACATAAAAAAATTGCAAAAGAGAGATTGGCATGTAGCCCACATCTAAGTAATAAAGCCACAAGCTAAAATTACTCCCACCTAAACATTCCAGATTTTCAAATTGAATAGTCCTGTACAGATAACCTACCCCTTGTGATTGCTGTTATATGCAACTTTAAAAAGTTATGATACATATCCTAACTACCACATGATAAATTATAAAATTCTTAACTCATTATTTGTTGGGATGTTTTGTGGTTTTAAGAGTCTAATTCTACTTTGAAATTGATGATTTTTAGGATATGAATAAGAATAATACGATAAGATAGCCTTTTGTCACCCCTAATCTGTAGGGATTTTCAATTATTCAGTAGTAAATAGTCTGTTCTATTTCAAATACTTTCTAGCATTAAAGAGTAAACAAATACAAGAGAATTATTTCCCCCTTACTTTCGTGGGATCCAACTGGGATGTTAATGTTGAGAGTAATTATTTCCAAGACATTCTCCTATGAAGGCTATTGAGAGTTCTTGTTCGCTAATTCACCTAATCATTAGCTAATTGGAAAGTATTCTCTATTGTGTGCTGATTGGATGACAAGATAAGTATTCTCTATTGGCTTCCTCATTTTGAACCTCTAACAACAAAAACCCAGTAGAATACTAGAATCCCACAAAAGTAGGGTCTGGGGAGGGTAAAGTACGCAGGCCTTACTCCCTAAAAAGTACAGAGGCTGTTTTGAGACATTATTCAGAGTTATTTAATTATAGCTGTGCTTTATCTCCCGAAAGTGGTATAAACCAGATATGAATTAAAAAAATATGAAGCAAGACCTACTCCCTCCCATCCCATCCCATGAATAATTCAAGAGAGTTATCTGGAGTAATCAACATTGGCATAAAAACAGTAGGAATGAAAAAATAACACATAAACCGAGGGCTATTACTGCCAGGGTCAACCCCAAATATGAGCGTTGTGCGTCATATTCCTAACAATTTGTCCAGTGACAATGTATTAACCACTAATTCATCTTTCTTTTATCAAATCTCAGGGGCATGGTCTAATCATGAGGGTAGAAGTTTATCATGGTGTCAGATCCAAAGTTTTTTCGGTTCCTTCTTTGTTGCTGAGGTCGACACTAAAACCATAATATCTCAAAATGGGGAGGTCATAGAGAAACTTCTTTAATTCCTTGGTTACAAACTTTGTGAAGGACTCCATTCTATCTCTGCCTCCTTGAGAAAAATAAAGCGGGGTTTTATACGCTTAGAGCCCATTTGAGAAGGGGGAAATGACTTCCAAAAAACCATTTTCTGGTGTTTGGTTGTTCTGAAAAATAGGATCGTCAGAAAATGAGCCTTAAGTGGAGGGAAATAGTTTCCACTTTTTCCGGCAGAAGACATTTTCCTTATGTCTCCTA